GGAGTTGAAACAGTATGGACTAACATGGATGCAGGTGCGGGATAGGTTATATATATATATATACATATATACATATATATATATATAATGGAAAAATTAGGGTCATTAACAACACGAATGTTTACATAACATCGAATCAATAAAATCAATCGATGACAGTTCAGTAGCACCTGTGTGATAATATACAACAACACTACACTACGCTGAATATCAGACAAATGAGGAAAAAGTAAAAATAATACAGAATTCATGAATTTATAGTCTCCAAAGAAGGCCAGGGCAGTAGTAGTAGTAGTAGTTGCAGAACTTGTTTCATCTGCACACAGAGCACCTGTTGTTGTTGTTTTAGGCGAATCAAATCGAAATAGCCTCTGTTATTTTGGAATATTCGGTACCTGGATATGTTTGGGCAATCTAATTGGTATCGGACAGAGAATGGAGAAAGATTCTTCAATGCTAGCTTTATTGTTGATGGTTTAAATACTCTTAATAAGTATATGTATATTTGCCTGATTCACATGACAATGCTTCCCAATAATAATTCTGTTTCCCTTCTCCTATTACCCTCCTCCTGTATTGTTTTTGTGCTGATAATCTCTAGGTGCCTATTGATTGCACAATAATTTAAGCGACACAGAGTGAATTAATGTCCATATTAGTTTGTTTATTAAATGTATCACACAGTGATGAAACAGTATTATTTACTGGATGACGTTTCCAGGTATGTAGGTGACACATTCACTCTACTCAGAACACAGGATATATAGATAGATTTTTCGAACACATTAACTCAAAGGTGGAGGTAATTCAATTCACCACCTATGAATTGGAAAGTCAGGAAGGGGAGCTTTCAATGTTAGATTGCAGCGTAAAAAAGAAAGAAGATGGGAAGTTAAACACACTAGTGTGTTTACAGGAAACCTACACATTCAAACAGATATTTGAACTTCCGATCATCCCATCCTATGTCAGTAAAAATAGGATTGGTGAAATGTTTAAATAATAGAGCACAAAATCTAAGACAGGAAGTGAGGCATATAGGAGAAGCTTTGAAACTTAATAATTACCCTGATAAATTAGTCAGAAAGTATGTAGGGAAATGTGAAAATAAAATAAATAATGATAGTAGTGATAGTGATAATAATAATAATAATATTAATGACGACATGCATGTGAAATATGCGCAAGACAACACCAACAATAAGGAATCTAAATCATCAGTAGTAATTTCATACAAGGAAGGAACCTCGGAAACCTTACGGTGGAGAATTCTTAACAATGCAGGCAGGAATTAAAGTGGCTGGCATTCAAACCACCCACAAACTCAATTAGAAACAAGCTTTATCGGTTAAAGGATCAATCCTGTGGAGCCTTTAAAACAAAACAATTTAGTTTATCTAATACCCTGTCTGCAATGATTGTCAGGTCAAATACATAGGTCAAACTAGTAGAACAGGGGCAGTCAGTCAGACTAGCCGAACATAAAAACCTAGCAAAATCTAGATTGGTTGACCCGAATAAGATAAGAAATCTAGAGAATAGTTCAGCTATACCACTCACTACATGCAATTACACACAACCATACAATAGGATGGGATAGGATGACATTTTTAAAATCTTATGTGACAGAGTGGAGGGAGAGATTGATGACAGCGGAAGCTTTGTTTATCGAATCAACTGCAAATACAGTGTACATAGGAATGATTCAACACCTGTCCACCCAGATATCTGGAAAATTCTACTACCCCGACGACGACAAATAGGAGAGGACAAAGAAAACTATAAAACTCAAGTTTCAAAGTCGTGTGATTATAATTGGCGATATGATTATGAACAGCAATAAATTATGTTCGAAACTTTGTCATCCAGTAAATAATAATACTGTTTCACTGACTGTGTGATACATCGAATAAACAAACTAATATGGAATTACTTACTACTTATGGTCTTCCTGTACGCAGACTTATCAATAAACTCACTCGACTTTGACAAACTGAAGCGAGATATGCAAAATCATCGTATTTTTAACATTCGATGCTTAAAAAAATGAACTAATGTCCTTTTCATCTCTTGCATCATCTCATCGGCGACGTGATCACTTAAGGGAAATGTGGAGGACACTTGTTTCGTCATTCGAATAATAGAAAGATGGATTAATAATAACTACTGCGACTGATCACTAGCCAACAAATGAACATGTGACATATATATAGCGCGTGCGCGCGAGAGAGAGAGGAAGAGTGTGTTCTAGATAACGGACAATATGTCTGATCACTACTATTATCTCATTTCTTGTTCTGTATATATATATACCTGCAT